GTATACAAATAATCATCACATGCTATACAGCATAATGTGATATTTACTATTGAAAGGCTTAACCAATCCAATGTTAGGGCAAGAGAGAAACATATGTATTACTCAGGATAACACTTTGGGAAATGACCTGAGATATTTTTCATCACAAACATAACACTTCCACAAGAATTAGTAAAGGTAATAAACATTTGTGCCACCAGGTTGTGGAAAAGCTTCCTCCAGCATGACACTTTATTTGTCTTTTGAGCTTGTGCTTTTACCTGGAAGTCCCCTCAGATGGCCAGTATTGGTTGATGTTAACAAGCCATCTTTTTCATTTTAATCTACAATTTTCATGTTTTCTTCTAACCAGTGAGGCATCATCATTAGGGATATTTAGTATGGCCTGCAGTGTATATGCAGAGCTGCAGTCTACACGGGGCACCCAGGGGGAGGAGAAGCAGCTGTAGGCTGTCGCACCTTGTTTTTTGTGCTGCAAGACGTGTAACAATTTTGGTTTTTTGAGCAGCTTATCTGAGACTGTACACACCACTTGTCTGCCACATTAAAGGGCATCAAAATTTATAAAAAATGCTAAAAAAAAAAAACATTCATGAGTGACAAAGTACCCATCCATCCATCCATTTTCCTCCGCTTATCCGGGACCAGGTCGCGGGGTACCTACAGTACAAATATTTTACTTCTTAATATCAGACTCAGGACCATTTATCAAGACCTCGTCTCTGTCCTCTATTCATCTCTATTACCACCTCCATCTTCCAGATCCTGGCCTATGGAGACATGAACCATGAGTGGGTGGGGAACGAATGGCTGCCCAGCCTGGGTCTGCCCCAGTACCGCTCCTACTTCATGGAGTCACTGGTGGATGCCCGCATGCTCGATCACCTCACCAAGAAAGAACTGAGGGGTCAGCTGAAAATGGTGGACAGTTTCCACAGGTTTGAAAGAAAGATTAGTGGGTTATTTGTGATGCGTGTCCACATCCTCTGATATATGTGATTCAACTCTCTACTTCTTCTTATCACCCACTTCTTAGGTGTATGTTGCACATCTATGAGCTTTATTGAAAAGTACAGCAATATGTCCTTTTCACTTACAGAGTGAGTCTTCACTATGGCATCATGTGTTTGAAGCGTTTGAACTACGACAGGAAAGAGCTGGAAAGAAGAAGGGATGAGAGTCAGCATCAGTGCCAAGGTGAGCCCTGTGGTTAATAAGCCAGTTTTCTCTTCAGACATGATATCAGAGCATGCTATGCATATTTTTGGGACTACATTGGAGCTGGTGATAATACTCTGTGTTCTTCACAGACGTGATGGTGTGGTCCAATGAACGAGTGATGTGTTGGGTGCAATCAATCGGTCTGAAAGAGTTTGCCGACAACCTATTAGAGAGCGGGGTGCACGGGGCCCTCCTGGCACTAGATGACACCTTTGACTACACTGACTTGGCCCTCCTCCTCCAGATACCCAATCAGAACACACAGGTACTCCACAGTACACCAACACTGCTGTCAACTTGAAGAAGCAGAATGTAGAAAACAGAGTTCTTATCTTACCACTGCTGGCATAGATTCACCTCACCACACCTCCTGTTGGCCTCATGCCAAGATAACCCTACTCTTCATCTCTTAAATTGTCTTAACTATGATCTTAAAACTCTGTTCATCTATCTTTTGTAGGCGAGGCAGCTCCTAGAGAAGGAGTACAATGCTCTCATCTCCATGGGAACAGAGAGGAGGCCAGATGAGGTATGACAAAGCAGACTGTCACTAGAAAATCAATCAAGATAATCACTCCTGCCAGGAGGCGGGAGTGTGTGTTGATTGGAACCGCCATGCCTGAGACTATTTTACTTGACAACAGGGGCTTTGATCCAACCTAATAATTTTTTGCCCTTTGTTAACTCTGTGTCATGACAGGGTAATTTCCTATCAGTGGTAAAATAGCAGACCGCGATATCTCTTTTTCTTATAAAGACCGCCTTTATGGCATCAGTCTGGTACTTTACCACTACTGGCAAATTGTTGGTACGCCAAAGTGGTTCAGCTGTGTTTACACCAGTGCTAATTGCTTAGTTACAGCATGTAGGACTAAAAACTGTGTAACTGTGGTATACTGTCACAACAAAGCCAGCTTTGTCAAATACTACTTTGTTAAACCCCACTAATGCATAATGAATAAGACCCCTGAAAGAAATAGCCTCTGCTCTGACTGTCTCTACAGGATGGCACGAAAACATTTACACGTTCACCATCATGGAGGAAGATGTTCAGAGAGAAGGACCTCCGCAGCGTGACCTCTGACTCCTCAGAAACATTACCTGCCAACTTCCGTGCCTCTGCCATCTCGACCCCCTCTGTCACCCTGAGAAAGGTCCAGAGTGAAGGTGAGGGGATGCAGCTCAATGAGTGTGACAGCATCACTGCCAGGAATCAGGCACATGTTTCTTCTAGTTTAAACATGTGTGAGAAAAATGTCTATAATGAAATGTTGAACTAGTAAAAAAGTAATTACCAGTACTGCCCTTCACAACGTCTGAACCCCCCCGCCCTTTTTTTATTTACGGTAAAGTATTTTCATTTAAAACTTCAGCTTTTACAGTTTCACTTGTTTCAGTTTGTGCTACTGCTCCAGTTCTGTTTGTCTCATAGAAGCACTAATTCACTTCTTCTCTCTGTCAGTGAATTCTGGCCCAAGAGGAGAGTCGGGGTCCGTGAGGACATATTCCTGCTAAAACATAAGCACACCAGGTGAGATAAACACCTTCAATGGAAACAGTTTCTGTAGCTAAAATAGTCTGTGTGAAAAACAATCAAACATCACATCTCAGCAGGAGCAATTACAGTTCTTCAAGTGTGTTTTATTCCATTTTTGCAGAGCCTGGCTCTATCGTAATCCAAGGAAAAAAAAAACACATTTTTGAAGAAAAAAACTGAAGATCAAAATTTAAAAATGGACACTAGAAGATGACCAACAGCATACAAGCCTGATGCCTCAAAAAAAAATCAAAGAAACTGAATGAATGATTTCTGAAAAGATGAAATAATGAGTGAATGCCTGTTTATTCATCTATCTCTCTCCCTCTCCCTCTATTTTGATCCATAATTGTGGCATGATGCTGTTTGATTCTGTAGAAAGTGGCCATTGCCTATCGTGAGTTCATCTTCTGTTTTTTGAGTGTGGGATGGCAATACTGACACAAAGAATTTCTAGTTTTTTTAAATTGAAGAATGCATTCCTGTTATGAGAATGACACCCTGACACATATCCTTTCAGGTGATCTTACTATGATTTAGACTGATAATAGAACATACTCTGCCTAGTAATATCATAGTAGAGTCTGGGGAGAATGAGGTTCAAAGGGAGAATATAACTTTATAAAGGGGAAATGAAATGTATGTTCTTAAGCCATAACAGTCATGAGATGCACAAATGTGGAAAGGATAATTAGCAAAGTGCTCCTGTTCAAACTGGGGGAAACAATTAGTTAAGAATTTGTGTTAATATGCATGCCAAAATCTACCATCTTAGAGTGAACGTCATGATATCAATCATCTAATGGTGTGAAAGCTTGGGTCAGGACTTTGTAAAATGTGTTTATTTTATTTTTATCATTTTTTTATGATAACTGCTATTGTATGTATGTATGTATTTATGTACAGTATGTATGTGTGTGTATTAAACTGTATGTTTATTTCATACTTAGTTTTAAGACTGACTGTAATTTCATTTTAGGTTGAAAAAAAGAAATGTTTGAAATTATGGACCTTTAAGATATGCTACTTGTATGTGTACATTTCCAGAAGAAAAAAAAAACATTGTGTTATGATTTAAATTCATATTATTGGAGAGTAGTAATGATAACTGAATATAATATGATGATAATAATGATTGTAAAAGCTGTAATTAAAAAACATACCTGTAAAATGCTACTGAAGGAGTGGTTTTGCAGTTTCCCCTCACACTGACCAGACAGCAAAGATCACAGGTAAGTGGCTGTCAGTTTTACCGTAGCTCGAGTACATTGCAGTCAGCTCCATAAGTAAGACCTGTAAAACTACCAAAAGACAGTAAAATGTGAGGTGGGCTGAGGGACTTAGATGGGTCGTATATCACTGTCTTCGCCTTTCATTTGGTCCCATAATAGATCAAATGCTGTAGCTTAAGCTGCATACTATGCCTGTATTATGCTACAGTTCAGTATTTCTTTTTCACTTGCTGTAATTTTTCATACTGTATCTAGGCTCATATACAACCCAACCCATATACAAATGTATGGACTCATACTGCAGTAAGAAAAACTAGCAGTTCCTTAAACCTAAAATAATCTGAGTGTAAGTGTAAGATGGCATTTTCTTCCAAGTATTTTTGGCATGAGCCTTGTACAAATGTATTTTCAGTGGTGGCAGCAATGCTGGAAATTCCTGTGGAAAGGTGATCAGGAAGGCTTAAAAAGTAAACAGGATAGCGCCATCTCCTGGGTGAATTCCATCTCTAACACTGTCTATCACAGAATGTAGTTGACTTTATAAGCAGAATAAGTTGGCCATGTGTCATACACAATAGTCAATCATAATTATATTGTACAGTATAATCGTAAAGGAATCAGTGTTTACAACTGTTTATATTTCACTTTCAACATCAGGAAAGTTGTCTGAGCAGATTTACCAAACACAAATGTACAGTTCTGTAGATGTCATAGATGATCCAGCCATTGTGTCTCAGTGCTTTCAAGTTAGACTGTTAACAGTTTGGAAGATCCTTCATAATTTTAAAATTCTCCTGACAGTGCCATGAATCATTTATTTGACCTCTTGAATAATGAATTTAATATATCCTTCAGATTTTGTTATTATAGACAAGCGAGTACGTGAGAAGCTATAATGCACCAATTCAGATGTACAATTCAGCAGCATCACAATGATGATGCACATGGTGATGCACTGTGTTTCTTAACCAGGGAATTTACAAGCTGGCGTGCTGTACGGTGTCTCTGGGGACCGCACAGCTGCAGTTCTGTAAACACTTGTCTTCTGCTTATACTGTAAATCAGTTTCACCCACCGTTTCCCTGGCTCTCCCTCTCACGACACAACACACACGAACCAAAAAAAAAGATAAACACCATAAACTCAAAACAACGAGTCATTTCTGCCCGTAATTGCTTGTTGTAATTTACTTACTAGATGATGCAGATCGATGTGTTTTTCATACCTGGAAGCCTGGATGGGAAAGAAAAACATGACGGCTTACTGTCAGCAAAAGGTAACATAACAACACATATTCACTGATAATTCTCAATGTGAACAAATCACAAGTCACAATGTGACGCTTTCACTTTCAATTCAGATAAAACTAAAATGTAATTGGTAGTAATGTTCAGTAGCAGGACAGATATTGACATGATACATTTAACAATAATAATAATAATAATAACCACTACACAAAAGCACCCCAACCACAGTGTTTATGTACAGTCAAAAGAAGACAAATACTAGGAAATCAGTATTTGTTATTGTTTGTTATGTGCTATTTGGCTAAGAAGAAATCAAGCCAGCTGACTTAATCAGTCCTAAATAAAAAACAACTGTACAAGCAACTGTTACTGTAAATAACCCGGAAAAAGTCCATACATAGTGTGAGGACATGGGTCTTCCTGTCCGCTGTTTAATTATGTAGAAATGTCTGACTCATATGTGGCCCTTGTGAACTAGGACCTCCTTCTCTTAACTCCTTTATAAGGGCACAAAACTTGCTCCTGTTTAGAATTTCTTCAAAAAGAACTTGCTCGTACAGAGCTGCAAATTGGCAATTTATTTATTTTTTTAAATCTTTATTAAGCTATTTATTTATTTTTATTTATTCCTCGATTACCTTCTGTCCAGGCTTCCTTAATCTTTTTCCCAATGTTTTTATTTCCACACATCTTTTTCTCTTATTTGTCTTCTTTTCTTTTAATTATTCTACTTCCTTTCTCTTTGTCATTTTATCTCACTGATTCCAACCCACTTTTATCCTTTAATAATCAGGTCAGAGAAGTGCATCTCTACACAGGTATATACAATCTTTTTCATATTATTAATTTAGCAATGGGTTGAACACATTATAAGTAATATTACTGAGATAATATTACCCTTAAACATCTTACATTTGTCATCCTGCTGACTCCTTTTGTTTCCTTCTCATTGCAGATAACCACAGAAGAGGGATGTATCTGCAAATGACTTTGGATGGGACAGTGTCAGGAAGTGATGTTCAGACCCCTTACAGTAAGTATTTGGCAAATAGATCAGTAGCAAGCAGCATCTTGAGGCCCAATTTAGCATCAGTATTTTTTTTTCTTTCACAATTTGAAGCCCAGAAAGTTGAGGCCAGCAGGAGATTTATAAAGAAGACATTTATTTATGTGCCTGTGTTTCCAGGTGTGCTGGAGCTGAAAGCAGTTAAACCAGGCCACATAGTCATCAAGGGACAGTTATCATCTTTGTTTCTCTGTGTGGACAACACGGGCCATTTGAGGGGCCAGGTACAGTTAGCAAAGAAAACTTCTTTGCCATCCTAAACTCTTCATCCTTTTTCTCATTCACTGATAGTTGTCTGTTATCACTTTCAGAGTCACTACACAGAGGCCGACTGCAGCTTCAAAGAACTGCTGCTGGTGGATGGATACACACGTTTTCTTTCCTCATCCCATGGATTTCCTGTGTCTCTGGCAACAAAACAGTCACCAGAGCAACACTCAGTCCCCTTCATTCGATTCTTACCACTTAGGAATACCCTGATAGTGGAGGGTGTATCTGAACAACCACCAGACAATCAGAAATATTTCAGCGTGGACTCTGATGACCTTCTCGGAATGATTCATAGGCCTATGGTCAGTCCTCAGTTTTCAATGGACAAGTAGAGAAAATGAATTGCACAGATCTCTAACTGTATATTTATCTTGAAAATGTTACTTTTCTCAACGTTTTTATGAATATTATGGTAACTTATTTATTTATTGTGTGTGTGGAGAGTATCTAATGCTTATTTAAATAATTGTGACTGTTCATACTGTAGTTTGAGAGTTATGTTTATTAGAAGTAAAAAATGTTCCATGTTGCAAACTCATGTTGATTTTAATGCATAAGGATTTATGTGTTTTTTTCAAAACTGTATGCGACAGGAAAAGTCTAACAAGTTTCTATTTATACAACTCGGACTGAAAAGATGTTCTGAATGAAAACAAACGGTATAAATTTCACCTTTGTTTGTCGAAATCTATCAGGCAATGATACCGTGATTTAATGAAACAATTAACAAATGAGTGGAACTCCTTGGGACAAATGAAAGGCTGTGACTTTCTGGTGTAAGAGTGAGGAAATAGGCTGATTATTATCAGAGCAGGAGCACGCTCTAGTGGGCAAAATACATAATGAGGGGAAAGTAGGCAGCATTCCCTGAACTGCTATACTTTGTTCATGGGCCTTAGAGATTGATGATCATTTGAGTTTTTTGTTTTTGGGTTGTGCTACCTAGAAGGTTTTATCAGATTGTATGCAGTACAGTATATTTCCAATATAGTTTATATTCATTTAACCAGTGGATTGTACTGCAGTGCATTTTATGGTCTCTACAGTACTGGACATCTTATTGCTTATTCAAAACGATTTCAGCAATGTATAGTTAGTCAAGAGCATAGAGCTGCAACTCAACAAAAAAAGTTTTTTTTTTTTGGTCTAAAGACAGAGGGATTTGTACATGCTGAACAGATTTGGGAGTTATGATTGTGGGTTATATGAATAAAGTTGACTGAACTTGGCATCTAGATCTTTGAACTGGAGTTGACTTATGTCCAAAACTGTTGCTTCACTCGAGGCTGCCACATAACTGCCTAATTCTGTTCAATCTAAACTGTTACTGTAACTCTTACTGGTCTTTACTTTATTTTTCCATAGTAATGTTTGGAAAGAGATCAGAAAGATATTTCTGTGACTGATACTGTTTCTGATTTCTGATATAAAATCAAGGCTATCAAATTCAAATAGTATCATTATGCACATCATTTTACTGTAACTCACTTCATAGAGAAAAAAAAATCAGGACGTTTACTTGTAATGTTGTAATGTTCAAAATTCCAGATAATTTGTTTGTTTTTTCTCTCAGTGTTGCTTCACTGACTGACAATCTGTGCCAGAAGCCACAGATCACATTTTTGCTCCACAGAAAATTTATTTCAATTTACTTTCCCTTTCCTGACTGTTAAACTGACATCAGTAACACAAACTAAAACACATTACTAAAGCAGTTTACACTAGCAGTGTATTAGCACACATACCTTCCACGGATGATCACTGTGATGTTGTGTTTAGTCTTACAGTATGAGCTCCTGTGAAACCGACAGCAGTGTCACTGTGAGCTACTGCTTAGTAGCTGTGGGAAAGGTCAGTCACAGCCATACAAACATCAAACAGATTCAGTCTGGCAGACCTCACTGATTAAATATTGCACTTAAAATTGCAGCAGCCTAAGCAATAGGCAAATATTATCTTTTCAATGGCACCTGTGTAAGGTGAAACCTTTTCTCAGAATAATCACTCAATACCACAGATCACCAGATCTAATACAGCTTCATTTAGGAAAATTAATAAAATACAATCTTTATTAAAAACATAACTTAAGCAGATGAGTATAGAACCTTTGCCAGAGCAATGAAAATCTTTGTCTTTAACACAAATACAACAGGTAACACTGTGTCATTAAGTAACACTACAGTGTTGTATTACAGCATGATAAAGGTCACGTCAGCCGCTTGAGGTCACATAAGCCAGAACTTTGTACATTACTTACAGAAGAATGTTGAGAATGTGGGGCTGGTTATAGGACAGTTTGTCTGCAGTGACAGGTTTGCTGGTGTTTGGGTGAACTTTGATGAGACATGACATTTATATTGCCGAGAATCTATTCAAATATTTAGGCACAAAGTGACAGAACTAAGACATTGAAGTTTCAAGGCAAAGAACAGACATTCAGGAAGTCAGTTTCATCTCAAACTCAAACTGGCAGAATTAATAAATAACAGCTCGTATGATATTTATATCACAACCCTGAGAAATAAAACTTGCTCACAATCTTTTTAATGCTTTTGAAAATTATACAACAAAATATATTATTATATTATATTATGTTACTCTACATATGGCTTGCAAGTTTCTTTTCTTAGTTTCTCTCTTCAGGACCTGCAAAACTATTAACTCATCTTTATTCACTTTCATGACCAAAAACACTCTGCCTCCCTAAACCTGAGTGACCAGAGGTTCTCTCAGATACATATTTCCTCCTCTGAACTCTGTGCCCTGCCCTGTACACAGTCCACCCAGCAGAGTGCCATTCAGAGGGTTACAGATACCTTCAATAGCATAATATTCTCCCTGTGGATTCCTTTCACCTTCATCTTTTTCCTCCCCATCTGGTTCCTCGCCCTCCCAAAGGGTTGTCTGCACATGGGTGTACTCGGCTTGATCTTCACACTCAGTCTCCCGATGGTAGAAGTAGCTAAAATTGGACACTATCACAGGCACTGGCAGCGAGATCGTAAGCACACCGGCAATGGCGCACATTGAGCCTACTAGCTTTCCCCACACTGTTTCCGGGTACATGTCACCATAGCCCACTGTGGTCATGGTGACAACTGCCCACCAAAAAGCATGTGGTATACTGATAAAGGCTGTGTTGGTGTGGTCAGCCTCAGCAAAGTAGATAGCGCTGGAGAAGAGGATGACACCAATAAACAGGAAGAAGATTAGCAGGCCCAGCTCACGCATGCTGGCCTTCAGAGTCTGACCCAGGATCTGGAGGCCCTTCGAGTGGCGCGACAATTTGAAGATCCTGAACACCCTCACTAACCTGATGACTCTGATGATGGCCAAGGATGTGGCTGGGCTGGCTTCAGTGTTCTTGGCCAGCTCTGTTCCCAGTGTGACAAAATAGGGCAGGATGGCACCAAAATCAATAATGTTCATGACATCCTTGAAGAAGTGCATCTTGCTGGGGGAGCAAGAGAAGCGCATGATGAGCTCGAAGGAGAACCAGCATATACACATGGTCTCCACAATGAAGAAGGGGTCGTGGAAAACACTGTGTGGAGGAGGCATGTTGTCAGATACATTTTTTGCCTGGGAGTGGTACTTGTAAAAATTTTCCTGAAGAGGAGGAGACAGAAAACAAAATTATGCATATTTGTGAATTATAAAAAAAGTAGCATCATAACAAGAATGAAAATACAAGAATGAAGGGGTTCTGTTTAAAAGTAACAAAATCTACCTGTTACTTCTAAAGCTCATGAATTAACACAATACACTTTGCTTGTTTATTCTGCCACAAAAAGCAAAAGTGTAAAAATATCACAAACAAAACCTTATTACTCATTAGTAAACTAGCACATACCCCTCCATAAAAGGGTGAATTTCTCTCTTTTTACAGATCTAAAAACCATAAATCACATGTAAATTAGTTTTAAAGGTGCTGGTAAGTGGATTTTGATACTTTTTGACAGAGCTCGGCCAACTGTTTCCACTTGTGGTCGGTTCTCATGCTAAGCTAAATAGCTAGC